ATTAAATAAAAAGCTTAATTGCAGTACCTTGTCAGGCGTTTCTGTGTAGGATACAGGTTCGATTCCTGTCGGAGGACACGTATTTTCTATGAAAATTTCTCGGACATTCAGGCCAGTAAATGTTGTTAATACTGTTTATTATAAACAGAGCATTTACTTAAATATTTGTATCTATAAAAAAATGTATAAAAAATGTCTTAAAATAATTGTCGGACTTTGTCTATTTCATAATATGTAACGTCATTTATTTACATTTGGATACGCCTCGAGCAGATATGAATGTAGAAGAGAAAATCATGGACAATTGTAGTTTAAAAACAGTAAAATCGACCTTGCTAACCGAAACTGCTGCTCTGTTGCTAAATTGGTAAAAGCACGTCAGGCTATATGACGGTTCTGTGTAAGAGACAGGTTCGATTCCTGTCGGAGGACGCATATTTTCAATGAAAATTTCTCGGACATTCAGGCTGGTAAATGTTGTTAATACTGTTTATTATAAAGAGAACATTTGCTTAAATATTTGTGTCTATAAAAAAGAATGTATAAACATAAAAATGTCTTAAAATAAATAAATAAGTTAAAATTTCGAAATGTCATCTCGAGAATTGTACAAAAAATAAAACTGTAAATGGGGGTCCTGTCTAAAAAAAAATCTGATGATTTACATTCTCCAAGGAGAACTAATAAAAAAAGTTTTGGAAAGAAATTTTATTTTCTCGAAATTTGATGAAATTAAGTAAGTGGGGTGTAATATATTTAAAAAAAAAAATTTCCGAATATTTTCTAAAAAACAAAAGTTTCAAAACTAATTTCCTTTGTTTGTAAATAAATCCTGAAAGTTTCATTAGAATTCGACAATTATTTGATTTTTGCAAGAATTTCCAAATCAATGTGTTTTTCACCGGAAAAAAGTGCAAAATCACTAATCGTAAATATTATGTCAACCGCTAAAATTTTTAACCAAAATTTCGAACGTGCTAGAAAGGATTAAAAAATTTATTGAAATAATTTAAAAAAAAAAACTTTGGTCTTTCCTCTTAATAATAATATGAATATTTTGACGATAAACCTTTGTTTTTATTAAGTTTGGGACCTTTTCATCATGTTATGCTGGTTTTCAGCGATAAAGTGGAAGTACCTATTTCAGAGTCAAGATTTCTACGCCAAGTTTTATTCAGTGAGCTCACTTCAAAGAAAAGACTTCGAGGTTGCCTCTTCGAAGATGCAAGAATCAACTTAAAATAAGACTGAAAGCCACTGGACTTGAGCCTAAATCGTTTGAAACACATGCACAAGAAGACCGTACCAACTGGCGATGTTCAACCAGCATCGGAACGAAAAACTTCGAAGCCACCAGAAGAGAAAAGGAAGATGACAAACGACAATAGAGAAAGGCTCGACAAAATCGACCTCGTCCTCCACCAAAATTACTATGCAGTCAATGCTATCAGCTCTTCCATTGTCTGCTTAGTCATCAATGCCATCAACATAAAGGAAGCGATCAGAAAAGAAGATGTTAAATTCTTGGATACAAGATACAGCCGAGGACAACGGTATAGGGGGTTGTTATACAATCTCTCCAGCTATGAAATCTGGAAGCGTCTTCTCAATTATCAAGTCCTCCATACCTGGTCGTTGTTAATGGCCAGTCGTCCGAGGCCCCATCAGATCAATGCAGGCTCACAGTGGGGGAGAAACTCGCTTGTCATGTTCAATATCTCAAAAACTAAACTAGTAACGTTCCATAATCACCGAGAATAGTCTGAATCTTCACTTATTGCGATGAACGGGCGTTCTCTCAAGGAGGCCCCATTGCCTTAAACATCTAAGTTCACTCCAGGCCTCAAGTAGCTAATAATATACGATCCATCACTAAAATTGCACGTAAAATGTTTAGTTCCTTGTACCGCAATAGTAAATAACTGATTCATTCTGCTGTGCTCTCCCTTTACAGATCAGACCAAAAATGTAAGTTCTATGCTAATAGCTTATTCTCTCGCACTTCTCGCTTGTGGAACTCTCTTCTGGTTTCTTGCTTACCAGTCAAATTTGACCTTGAAAAATTTAAATGCAATGTCAATCGTTATACTCTGTGTTCTTAAATCCTGTTCTTTTATTGTTCTCTCTCCTTAATGTTTTATTTTTCTCATATTCTTTCACACTATGTAACTCCTTGCATCTTAGTAGCTTTATTGCCTTACATTGGGTGATTTTATTGTTTTTAACAGAAAGCAAGTCTTACATGGAATATTATCAGCTGATTGATACCAATCCCTTAAAGAGTTGAAAGGTCGAACGATTTATCAGAATATAACGATATTTAAACCGCACCTTCCAAATTGGCGATGCTCTTTTGTACTTTTCATATATTGTAGTCCCGTCAAATATGGACCTTCGAAGACGTAATGAGCATTAATATTCCTATGACACTGAGTTTATTTTAACTACCTTCACTCTTCGGCAATGTTTATTGTTTTAAAAAGCGATGATCAGAATTGGAATAGAACCTAAATATATGATGAAAATGAATTTAGATATTTTTGTTCTTAAAAAATTAATAGAATTAATTAAGTAATAAAAAAATTAATTTAAAAAATTAATTAAAAAATTATTTGAACACAAAAGGAGTCTTTACAAAACAACACTCAAAAATGCATTAGTTGTTCATTGTAAAGAGTTTAACCATGATTTTGATTTAAAAAAATGCTTCTCTAATTAAAAGAGAAAGCAATTTACTAAGACAAAATTGTATAGAAAATGCTTTTTTTCTTGGCAGATCATCTGTTATCAAAATGTGCGATATTTTATAACACAAAATGATAAAAAGAATCTAAATGAAATCACCTAGACTATATACCTAAAACATATATTTTTTAAATTTTTATTTTAAAATTCTCAGTGTCCTCTCTCGTGTGCATGTGTAATTGTAACATAAACATCACTTTAGTCCAATCAAGTCTTAAAAAGATAAAACGTATCACATGAAAACTTTCACAGACATGGACAAATGTGGTTGCAATAAGGTGTAGTTTGAAAAGGATGTTTTTTTTCCCCATGACACCATTTTTATTTTAACTACCTTTACTCTTCGGCAATGTTTATCGTTTTAAAAAGCGATGATTAGAATTGGAATAAAACCTAAACATTTGATGAAAGTGAATTTATACATATTTTTTCGTTTTTGCGTATTTCCAACAAAATTATTAAACACTATTTATTTCTTAGCTTGTTTGTTTACAAGGATAATTTTATATTTACAATATTCTAAACACTGATACAATTAAGACTAATGCAATATTTATCATTTACCAAGTTATAAAGAAATAAATATGAAACAATTTTTATTTATAAATTCATAAACGTTCTACTAAGTTGGCATCTCAGTCCCACGCTTTCACTGTCGAAACGGCTAAATGAATCCGTCTCTTCTACTCCAACAGCTTCTTATCTCGCACTTCCCGACAGTGGAACTCCCTTCCTCTTACTTGCTTCCCTGATAGCTTCAAATCTTCAAATCTTCAAATGGAATGTCAATCGACATCTTCTGATGCCTTGACCTTGATCCCCGTCTTTCTCTTTATCCTTTCCACAAACACCCCTCTTTACTCTTTCTCTCAATTTCTGTAACCCCTTGCGTGCTAACGGCACTCCCGCATTGCTTGGGGTGAAATGCTTAAAAAAATTTACTAAATTATTATAAGGAAATCATTATTATTTCCCATTTCGTAAAGTTTCAGTCAATTGACAATTAGCCGATGTTTTCCCAATCATTCCAATAAATAATAAATATTATAATATAATATAAAATATAATTAAATATATAATTTATTAAATATATATTATCTTATTAAATTTTTTGTTAAATTATTAATATTATTATTAAATTATTAATTAAATTATTAATAAATTATTAATATTATTAAATTTATTAAATTAATGTTTTAGTAAATATATTATTTAATTAAATATATATTAAATATATAATTTAATATTAAATATAATTAAATATTATAATATAATATGATAAATATTGTAAATAAACAATCTAATAAATAATGTTTCTTATTTTTGTTTTCAATTCCCAAGAACAAAGAAAATGTATAAATTCACTATCATATGTTTAAGTTTTGTTTCAATTCTAATCATCGCTTTGTAAATCAATAAACATTGCCGGGGGGTGAAGATGGTTAACATAATAGCGGTGTCAATGGAAAAAAAAAGGCATTCTTTTTTTTTCAAGGGGTTCCATCGGATTTAAAAGACTCACTCCAACTAGAGGGGCCCGAATGCTCTAAATTGTTTCATATTGGTTCAAAGGAGCTCCATTAAATCTGAATATAAAAATTTCTCCTCTGTTCTTATTTATTTATTTTTAGTTTTATCAGGGGACTAAGATTAGAGGGCTCACTCTAGTATTGGGTTTCGTGGGCAGCATCTGTAAATGCGACACTGGGGACATCACTGATTAAACCTAGCTCTCCTCAATTTGGAAAAAATACTCTCTTGTTATTTACAAAGTTCAGCTTAAATTTGACACAAAGTTACAATTATTAAAAATATGAAACACTGTTTATTTATTCGATTCTTTACTTACAAGAATAATTTTATATTTACAACATTCTAAAAATTAATGCAATTGTATTAAATCTAATGCAATATAATATTTATCATTTACCAATTTATAAAAGAAATAAATATGAGAAAAAATTTTTATTCATAAATTTGTAAACATTTACTAAATTATTAAAATATGGTAACTAACTATAAAGAAATCTTTATTATTTACCATTTTATAAAGTTTGAATCAATTGGTAATTAACCAATGTTTTGTTAACCATTCCAATAAAGAATATGATAAATAAATAATGTAAATAAACAATCTAATAAATAAATATTACATTTTTATTTTTCTTTCTTTCTTTTTTTCTTTCTTTAATACGTCATCCTTTTTTCATTTTACTTTTTCCTAGACGTTTTACGTATATTCCTATCATTTTTAGCTTTCTTTCTTTCTTTCTCTCTTTCTTTCTTTCTTTCTTTTTCTCATTTTCCTTTTTCCTAGACGTTTTACGTATATTCCTATCATTTTTAGCTTTCTTTCTTTCTCTCTTTCTTTCTTTCTTTCTTTCTTTCTTTCTTTCTTTCTTATAAGTTATTCTTTCTTTTCATTTTTTCGATGTTCATTCTTTCTTTCTCTCCTCATCCATTCTTCTTATTTTCCACGACCTTTTAGGATTTTTTTTTCCATTTTTATCTTAATTCCAAAATTACTTTCGCTACCAACTCATGTTTCTTCTTCCTTTCTCTATTTCACTTCTCACAAGTGA